AAAAAACATGAGCTAGTTTTACCAGGGATTTTTCAAAGATGAACATTCAAAGAAACCTCTTGTCTTCAATTCGGTCTCTATTTTGGAGGGAGAAGTTGCTCTTTCTTATGCTGCTCACCAACCTTTCCTTTTCCATTGAGTTTCTATTTTTCTTTTAAAGTTCCTCCCCCCATCCTTTGAGCCTGTTATGGCTTTGTGATGTTTGGGGCCGGGCATATGACTAGTGGTGGTGGCTGATTGGATGCATCAGGTGCACTGACACAGGAAGCAGATTAGTGCTCTGGAAAGGAGAGATGAGAAGAGGGCCAGCTCACAGCCCTGGGCTGAGGACTTTTCCTGATTGTTGTTATTGCTGTCTGTCCACACCACACCCTCATATTTTCCAATTAACTCTCTCTGGCCAACTTGGAACATCCCTTCCTCCCAACCCATCTTATATAGCATATTTTCAACTACCAGCCCACGCAGGTGACAGGAGTCAAGTACTTTTGAGGCTGAATAGCAAAGAGAAAATGGGGAAGGGAATACTAGAGCTGGGTTAATTAACATCCTTTCAAGTCAGTAGTTTCTAGACCTGTTTTAGGCAGGATCTAGAAAGAAAATATTAGGTTCTTTTTTAAACTATTCCTTTTCTCAACCTAAATGTATGTTCACCCTTTCTGAGACCCCTTACTGTCCACTCATGTCTGTCCCCAACCCTAGGGTAGGGCTTTCCTGGCACTAAGCCCCCACATTCCAGCTCCCCACACCACCACGTTCCTGCCGAGTGTTTCACCCCACCCTTGAAGCTGCCGCCTCCAGAATTCTTTACTTCCTGGAATAATGAAGTTGAGAGACAGAACCTGTCTTTCCTTATATCCTCCCCTTCTCTTTATTTCTTAGAAGAGAGAGAAGCTTTTTGCTTCCCTAGAATTCATAGGGGGAGACAAATTGGGGTGGGGACGTGGACCGAGGGCTCAGGCTCAAGATTGGTCTGTCAATCTCCACCCCCATTCCCAGCCATATTCTAGCTCTAAGGACCAATCATTCCTTTCAGAGATTAGTTGCTACTTTCAGATGTCACAGCTCATTTCTAGGTACAGTTGGATCAACAAGCTCAGGAGTAGGAATGGACACCTGCTCAGAATAAACTGAGCAGTGCCTCACACCATGGTTGGTTTTTTACTGCAAGGGCCAAAAGGTGTAGAAAAGGGGATAGAGAAATGAAGACTAGAGAATTTGGAATGCTAAAAAACAAAAAGAAGATATTGAGAGGGGCAGAGCTGGGGATACTGAGACTAAATCAGTACAGCAGTAAAAACTGCTGAGAACTGACCTCTAGAAAAGACTTCTGAACCAGAAAGTTGACAGCATGACATAAGGTGGGTGTTGACTTGGACAGACCTATGTACTAGGTGAGAGTGGTATCTTTAAAAGGTCCTGTGACACTTAGAGGCCGGGAATCAGGTTTTCCCTCATCTTGAGGTGAAGTGGCTGGGATGAGGGTGGGTGGGGGTAGAGTTGGGGGAAGGAAGGTAGAGTGGAGAGACTTTAGGATGCCAACCCTTTCTTTCATAGGAGGGCACATACCTCAAGGACAGGATGGAAGAATCAACACTAAGCCGGGCACGGTCCCGGGGTGGAGTCAACTTTCTGAATGTAGCCCGGACCTACATCCCCAACACCAAGGTGGAATGTCACTATACACTCCCCCCAGGCACTATGCCTAGTGCCAGTGACTGGATTGGCATCTTTAAGGTATCTTGGAGACCCCTTTTGGCTTGGGCTTATGGGGAATTGGTGTTTTGTTTTGTTGTTTTTTTTTGGGGGGGGGAATTGGTTTGTTGTAATAAGAAGAGTAAGTTCTTAGATTCTGGGCCTGAGTTGGTAGAGAAAAAGAACCAAGCCCAGAAACCACCTATACAAGCAAAACTCATCTTCCCATTCTAGCTTTGACCTCTCCTGACAGCTTAATGTTCTCTCATACTCTCCCTGTCAGTTTTCATCTGTGCCGCTGTAACACCATTTTATACTCCCTTCCGTCTTTCAGCCCCCTCTACCATCCATAGCTAGTTGATATGTCGCCATACCTCTCACCATACCTTGGCCTTCGTAGGTGGAGGCTGCCTGTGTTCGCGATTACCACACATTTGTGTGGTCTTCAGTTCCTGAAAATACAACTGATGGTTCCCCTATCCATGCCAGTGTCCAGTTCCAAGGTATGAAGGAGGATGGAAAACAAGAAGGTTTGGAGAAAGGGTTTAGAGGAAGGTTTGGATGAGGATAGTGGGCACAGAGGACAAGTGAATGCAGATAATCATAATAGGAGCCATGCATTGTGGCACACACCTGTAATCCCAGCTACAGAAATGGACTGAGGTTGAACGATCACTTGAGCCCAGTTCAGGTCCACCAGACAACATAGTGCGACCCAAGGGAGCCTCTACTGAGAAAATATTCAACAGGCCTCAGCAGACATGGAAATACTGGATTTTCACAGAACCAGGGACTTAGAGGCACAAGAATCTTAGGAGAACATCTGGTCCTCCCACCTACCCACAAAGGAGAACTGTCCTTATACAGCTAAAGGGTATGGAAAAGAATGGTCAAAAGACTTTGAAAGACCTGGGTTCAAATGTCAGCTTTTATTCTTATAAGCTGTTTAGCCTTGGGCAGATGACTTAACCTCTCTGTGTCTGTTATCTAATAGTAAAAGGAGCTTCCTGGATTATAAGAACAGTTAGAGGATTTTAAATTATACAAGTAAAAATATTAGCACTCAGTATTTGGTACATGGTGAGCACTCAGTAAGGGGCAGCTAGCATTATTATGATTGTAAGAGCTGGGAGTGGGTTTGGGAAAGAGGAGAGAGCTAGGTAGAGAGGAGGGAAGAGAGTTACCAAAGAATGGGAATACCCTATGGGAGGTGAAGAGGAGAGAAACACTATATGGGACAGAGAGTAAGGGGCTGGAGCCAAGAACAATGGCAAAATGTGGCATGCTAAGGGGAAAGGGACCTGCTGGCTCATGAAGGCCAGGAATCATGCTGAGTTCCTGGGTCTGTTCTTCCCACAGCCAGCTACCTGCCCAAACCTGGAGCCCAGCTCTACCAGTTCCGATACGTGAACCGCCAGGGCCGGGTATGTGGGCAGAGCCCCCCCTTCCAGTTCCGAGAGCCAAGGCCTATGGATGAGCTGGTAACCCTGGAGGAGACGGATGGTGGCTCTGACATTCTGCTGGTTGTCCCTAAGGCCACTGTGCTGCAGGTGAGAAAAGAGCAAGAGCCTTGCTCCTGGGCCAGAAAGAGGGAGGACAGTATTGCAGGGAGGACCTGCCTGCTTCACCCTCCCCTCATCAGGAGCTTTGGCTAAAGATTTCCTTAGGAGTTAGACAAAGTCAGCTTTCCAGAAAGTCTCACCCTGATGGAGACAGATATGTGGAGCGGGAGAGCAAGCCACCCACAGGCCAGGGTAATACAGGATTTCACAGGAACGCTTTGTACCTGAGCACTACATCCTGCCCTAGGCCCTAGGGCAGTAGTAGTGAATCTATGTCACACATGTTACTTGCTTTTCTTTTAAAACAAAACGTCAGGTGTGGTAGTACACTCAGGAGGCTGAGGCAGGAGGATCACTTCAAGTTGAAACCCAGCCTGGACTATACAGGCACTGTCTCAAAAAAAAAAAAAGGTGTTAACATATCAGTTGCTTTTTCTAAACTAAAATCACAGTATCAAGATTTAATTTTATTGGGGCCGGGGAGATGGCTCAGTGGAATAAGTGCTTCCCTTGTAAGTGCAAGGGCCTGAATTCAATCCCCCATTCCACCAAAAAAAAAAGATTTAATTGCATTGTTGGCACTTTGCAGTAAATACGTGGGTTTGGGGCTGCAACTTGGGCACTCACCTCTAAAAGATTCACCATCAGGAACACTGAGAAGAAGGGAGTGTGGACTGGCTACCAGGACAGGTGAGGAGTCAGGGTACATAATCAAAGCCACACCTGTCCTGTTCAAGGACTATAAATGGCTCTTGGCCCTCCAAATGTGGTTAATCCTCTGAGACCTAATATATGGGTAAAATGCACTCTGGATTTTGAAGACTTAATATTTACAAAAGAATGTAATAGATCTTGAAACTTCTATACTGATTATATATCAATAAAGGATTGTATGTCTATTATATGTATTTAGATAGACTAGGTTGAATAAAATATAAACTTGAGTTTCACATGTTTCTAGTTACTTTTGGAGTCGCTAATAGAAAAGTTAAACTTGTACCTGGCTTGTGTTATATTTCCATTGGGCCAGATAGAGAAGAATTAGAGAGTGGAAGCAGATAGTGGCAAAGACTTCCTGAAGGAAGGTTAGGGCCAGGGCCAGATGGGAAGGAAGTACATCCACCAAACCAGAGGCAAAGCCTGAGGAAGGCTCCAAAGGAAAGAGCACGGGGCTTTTGTGGGATTTCAACAGACCCTTGCCCTCTAGAACCTCAAGTCTAGTAAACACAAGGACTCAACACAAAAATAAGAATATAGCTGGGTACATTGGTGCACAGCTGTAATCCCAGCATTCAGGAGACTGAAGCAGGAGTGTTACTAGTTTGGGACCAGCCTGGGATACAGAGCAAGACCCTGCCTGCTAAATAAATGAAGGAAGGAAAAAAGACAGTGTTTGTACATTACCTAAGTCAGAAATGTGTGTTTGGTATTCTGTTTTCACATTCAGTATTCTCATTTAAACCTCACAGCAGCCAAGCGTCATAGTGCATACCTGTAATCTCAGCACTCTGGGAGGCTGAGACCGGAAGTTTGTAAGTTCAAGCCCAGCCTGGACAATTTAGTGACTTAATGAGACCTTATCTCAAAAAATTAAAAGAGGGGCTGGAGAGATGGCTCAGTGGTCTAAAGCACCTACTTAGAACAAGCTTAGCAAAGCATCAGGGACCACGGTTCAATCCCCCAGCACCACATGCCAGCCAGCCCCGCCCCCTGGTGGGCTGAGCTGGCCACACACACACACACACACCTCTCTCTCTTTCTCTCTCTAATAAATAAAAAATTTAAAAAAAAAATTAAAAGAGGCTAGGAATTTAGCTTAGTGCAAAGGCATTGTGCTCCACCCCAGACAAAGGGATCACCTCACAGATAAGGACACAGCGTTCCAGGAGTTCAGCAGTTTGTTCAGTCATATAGCTAGTAAAAATGGTATTGCTGATTTGCCCTAAGTGTGTCTGACTCCAGAACAGATTAGGTAAACTTAGGGGAGTGCCCCCTTTCATCTGTATGTTGTGTCAGATCCTTGTGGCTGCTAGGTGAGGAAGGGGCCAGGCCTAGGGTGAGACTGTAAGAGAGGGGTGGCAGAAGAGTGCTGTGACTGGAATGTCCGAGTAGGCAGTAGACAGGGCACCAACCACAACATGCATCCTGAGAGTACCAGGAACAGGGCCTTCAAGTGGGTGCCTAATGGGCCCATTCTCATCCTGCCTGATCTCTGCCTTCTCCCCTATCCCTCTATAGAACCAGCTGGATGAGAGCCAACAGGAGCGGAATGACTTGATGCAGCTGAAGCTGCAGCTGGAGGAGCAGGTGACAGAGCTGAGGAGCCGAGTGCAAGAGCTTGAGACGGCTCTGGCAACCGCCAGGCAGGAGCATGCAGAGCTGACAGAGCAGTATAAGGTGGGACTCGAGCCTGGAAGGGCACAGGGCCTGGGTGCTCACCCAGTACCCAAAATCAGAACCCAGGCCCGCACTATGGCACACATGTGTAATCCTAGCACTGCAGAGGCTGAGGCCAGGAAGATTGCTGCAAGTTTGAGACCAGCCCAAACTACATAGGCTGTGTGTCAAATAAATAAATACAATCAGAACCCAGTGAAGAGAGGAAAAGAGAATACTTTATTTATTTATTTATTTATTTATTTTTATTTTAGGGAAGGGTCTACAGGGTATTGAGGGTCTCCCTACTAGATTGGACTCATAGTGATTCTCCTGTTTAGTCTCCCAAGTGCTGAGATTACAGGTGCACAGCCCCTGCGCCTGCTTACAGGCATTTTAATCTGCTGAGCTATTTGGCCGGCCCACAAGAAAAATACTAATGAACTTATAAGATGGTTCTGCCATCAAGGAAATAGGTTTAAGGGCTAACAAGTGGGATTGAACTTGATTTAAGAAGAGATATGCCCCATATTTGTAATGAAAGCTGATTTTTTTAACATGAGAGTGCTTGGATAAGGTGGAAGTGGCCACATTCCTAGGATAGGAAATGTTCCTGTATAGCTTATTTTTCGAGGAAGGTAACAGGGTGGAAGTGAGGTGGTCCAGTGCTGGTGTGCTTCTCCTATGTCTTTGTTCCTGTCTTTGAAAGATAAGCCTCAGCCTCTCTCTTCTGTGGGAACCTTAATTCCAGGGGCTTTCCCGGGCTCATGGGGAGCTCACAGAGGAGAGGGACATCCTGAGCCAGCAGCAGGGAGACCACGTGGCACGCATCTTGGAGCTGGAGGATGACATCCAGACTATCAGTGAGAAGGTGCTGACAAAGGAGGTGGAGTTGGACAGGTAAGGCCCTGCACTTTCTTTTCTGTGACCCCAGCATGCCAGCCTGCTATTGCAGGCCTGCTCTGTCTCCCCTAATATCTCTGTCACTTCCCTGTTTGAGGTATTCCAGCCACTGCAAAGCCCCTTATGCCTCACTCTCTTGCATCTTTCCAAATGCCGTTCTGCATTTCTCACTTGCTGAAGTAATCATAGTTACCACATCGTGTATAGCAAAAGCTAAGAAAGAGTTTGGAGTGGAGAATTTAGAAGAAGAAAGTGGATAGACTTGGAAGATAAGAGAGGATAGATATCAGATTTTACCACAGGAGAGATACAATTCCCTTCTTAAGAAATACTAGAGCTGGTGATCTAGGAACATATAGGCCACACGCTTGAAAATGGCATAAATCATAGAATCTCAGTGTTGGAAGTAGTGTAAGGTATACAGGAAGTCACTGTCATGAGACAGCCTCATCTAGTTTTGGACAGTTGTCACTTGTGTCTTATGTAGAGAGCCATACTTTACCCTCCTATAATTTACCAGTGGGTCCTATTTTTTTAATTCTTATTTTTATTAGTGTATGTTTGTAGTACATAATTATCACATTGATTGTGGGAGTCAGTACATGTATACCACACATCTTAATTCCCTTTTCAGGACTGGGGATATAGCTCCGGGGTACAGCACCTGCCTGGCAAGTGCAAAGTCCTGAGTTCAAGTCCTAGAACCAAAAATAAATTCTTTTTTTATCCCCAGTATCTTAAGTAGACCTCTAGAACCACATAGAACTTTTTTGCCTATCAGAAAACTATTATTTCTACCAAAATTTCTACCCATTTCTGTTTTTCAGGTTTGCACGAGGTTAAATACTCTAGTCCTTTCATTTATCAAATATTATTAATTTGTCTTATTTAGTACTAGGAGTTTTGATATTTTTAGAAATTCTTTGAAGGAAAAATATTCTGCCCAAGCCTACAGTAGTAAATGAACTGATCTGAGAGACTTCTTCAGAACGTTCTCATCTTGCCTTAAGAAGACACTGCTCCCTTGCGGTCTTAGGGACTGGCTAGACCAGGGTCAGTATACTACAACCTGTGTGTCAAATCTAGCCTGTTCCTTGGTTTTGCACAGCCCATAAGGAAGAGGGGTTTTTTTGGTTTTTTGGTTTTTAAAACATGTTTTAATGGTTGAAGAATAGATTAAAAGAAAAAAAATTTTTCTGATGTGAAAATTACATGAAATTCAAATCTCAGTGTTCACAAGTGAAGTTTTATTGGGACACGTGGTCATTTGTATACTTATTGTCTCTGACTGTTTCTAGATTATAGTGCCAAAGTTGAGTCGTTGCCCCTGAGATCATATGGCCTGCAAAGCCTAAGATATTTATTTTTTTAATCTTGTATTTATTTATTGATTTATTTATTGATTTGGTACAGAGTCTCGCTACGCAGCTCAGACTCGTACTGATCCTCTTGTCGCAGTCTTCCCAGTGCTGGGATTACAGGCCTGTGCCACCACGCCCAGTTTCAAGGCTGGCTCGGCAAGGGGCCAGCATGGCATGTGGTACGAGGGATCGAACCCAGGTCCTTGCACTTGCCAGGCAGGGGCTTGGACTGCCCAGCTATCTCCCCAGCCCAAGCCTAAAATATTTATTATCAGGCTGTTTACAGATGAAGTCTGTCAGCTTCTGATGTAGAATAAAATCAATTTTATTCATTTATTTTACAGCCAGTGTTTCAAATGTTTTATTGATTTGTGTATTTTAGAGACAGGGTTAGTTATTAGACTTAGGTTACCCAGGCCTGACTCAAATCTACGGTCCTCCTGCCTCAGTCTCCCAGAGTGCTGGGATTATAGGCATGTGCCATCATGTCCAATTAAAACAGAACTTTATTATCAGAGACTGCCCCTTGTCTAAAAGAGCCTAGCTAGATTCTAGTCTTTTGATTAAAGACAGCGAGGGGGGCTGGTGAGATGGCTCAGTGGTCTAAAGCACCTACTTAGAACAAGCTAAGCTAAGCAAAACATAGGGACCGAGGTTCAATCCCCCAGCACCACATACCAGCCAGCCCCGCCCCCTGGTGGGCTGAGCTGGCCACACACACACACAATAAATAAATGTAAAAAATAAATAAATAAATAAACAGCAGAATATAATTAAAAAAAAAAAAAAGACAGTGAGGAAGTTAATCAGTAGGCATTTCTTAAAATGATATATAAAAGTCAGGCATAGTTGTCCGTGCTATGAACTCAGTACTCTGTGAGGTTGAGGCAGAAGGATCAGTAGTGTGAGCCTGACCTGGGCAACTTAACAAGACCCTGTCTCAAAATGAAAAATAGAAAAAGAACTAGGGATGTACTTCAGTGTGAAGGGACTAGGTTAAATTTCCAGTACTACCTTCACCCCGCCCCACCCTTCCCACTGCCACTGCATGCACACACAATGATATGTGAAGAGGAGGAAAATTGTTTATGCCTCATCTGTGCAATAGAACCAGGAATCTTGGCTCTTTGAAACTTAGAACTGGGTTCTCTGGTATGGTGACTTTAGCACTGTAGCATGAGATAGACGCTTGGTTCTGGAGGAAGACCAGCGAAAGGAGTAGGACAGAGGTCCTTATTTAGTGACCAGATGACCCAACATGTTGTCTCCCACTTTCAGGGTTAGAGACACAGTGAAGGCCCTGACTCGGGAACAGGAGAAGCTCCTCGGACAGCTGAAGGAAGTCCAAACAGACAAGGAGCAAAGTGAGGTAAGGGAGTCACAGCTAATTTGCATTCTCAGTTGTTCAGCTGGTATTCACTGAATCCCTCTGAGTGCCAGGCACCAGCAGGGATAAAAATGGAAAGACCCTGTGTGTGCTGTACTCCAAATACACTACCTACACCTAAATCAGGATTCATCCAAGTGAAATATAAGAAGTGTCACAAGGGAAAGCTAAATGAGGATTATGGTACCCCAGAAAGGTAGCTGAGAGGTTATTTTGTTAGAGTCATTCGAAAAGGCTATTAAAAGGAGGGCAAGAACTAGCCTAATACTGTTAAATCCTTTCAGCTACAGAACTCTTTCTTTCCTTGACAATGAAGTTATACATTGTGTGGAACTTTACTGAGTAAGCAAAAGCAGTAGTGTCAGCTTGTTCTTATGAATTGAAATATGTAACATTAACTTATAATGTAATGAAAACAATAAAATAATTTTGATGGATACCAAACTTTTAAATTAAGGATTATGGTTAACTGTAGCTATAGAGGCTAATATACTTCTGTATTTTGTTTTGATACTTCCTAGGGGTTTGGAGGTTCTGGGTTCAGTCCTAGTAGCACATACACACACA